ATCACCTTGCTGACAAAGGTCTGCATAGTCAAAGCTATGGTTTTTCCAGTAGCGATGTATGGATGTGAGAGTGGGACCATAATGAAGGCCAACCAACAAAGAATTGATGCTTTTGAATTGTGTTGCTGGAGGAGACTCTAGAGAATCCCCTGGACTGCAAAGAGAACAAACCTATCCATTTGAAGGAAATCAACTCTGAGTTGATACTCTGGGCAGGATACAAATAAAATAAAAATAAAATAAAATAAAATAAATAAATCCTGAAACTGAGGCTCCAATACTTTGGCCATTTCATGAGAAGAGAAGACTCCCTGGAAAAGACCCTGATGTTGAGAAAGTGTGAAGGCAAGAGGAGAAGGGGGCAACAGAGGACGAGATGCTTGGACAGTGTCATCTAAGTGACCAACATGAATTTGACCAAACTCTGGGAGGCAGTGGAAGACAGGAGGGCCTGGCATGCTTTGGTCCATGGGATCACGAAGAGTCGGACACGACTTAACAAATAAATAACAACTACAAACTCAAGCCACCCAGGATACTTTTTAGGAGCAAGGTCAGACGGACAGACAGACAGACAGACAGACAGACAGACAGACAACACTTTAATTAACAAGTTGAACTAATTTCAGTGGGTTCAGTTCTTAAGTATGACCTAATTTTGGAACCAAGTCAGCATTTTTGCATCACATTCTTTTCAGAGGGTATTACAGCATGTGGAACAGTTAGAAAGAGCTTTTTGCTTTTGAAACCTTTGACACAAAATTCAAGCTGAGGCTGAAGTGTCCTTAGTAAAGGTGGATCTGCTGGAGGAGGCACCAGCAATTGCTAGGACAGACTTAAATCACATATCTCTAACTATCAGTATAGGCTGCAGTAAGAGATGAAGATATGGAAATCTTTTAAAAAGGAAGCACTGCATGTTACTCTTCTCTCACAATTCTTTCTTCTTTGGCTGCTGAAGAAAAGGCTTATGTTAATAGACAAGAACAGCTTTCCTTTCCATATCTTGCATGTAACAATATGTACTCACAGTTTTCAAAGTAAAATCTGTGGAAATCCATCCCTTCGACTAAGTTACCTAAAGCTTCAGGTTCAAAGGAAGTTAGGCCTGGATCACAGATTTTTCTAGATAAGCAGAAAACACAGAGAGCTATGAGGAATCTTTCTGAAGGGAGAGATGAACATGGACAATTGTGGCATTTGTTTTTTTTTTTAAGAGACGCCTGGTCATTTTGAGAGCTCACCTACAGACCCAGATCCTAGAGGAGAAACATGTACAGTATTTCTCTTCTTCCATTATACTTCAGGAAACATGTGCTACTTCTGTACAGTATACCCCAATGAAATAAGATTTCTTACTGACAAATGAGCTGATCAATGTGATCCAACAATCTGCTGGGCTGCATTACCTCAAGAAATATATTTAAGGTTATAAAAATGTACTTCACTAACTGTTAAAATTGTACAGGTGAGCTGCTAGTAAGAGATTTAAATCTTCAGACCTGGTAAAGCACATGATCTACTCCAATCAATATGAAAACATACAAAACTCGATTCTGAGGACAATATCTCAATGCAAACTCATGCAGGATACTCACGCATAGGCCTCAAAGTCCCCATTGTTCACAGCCTCTATCAGCTGCTCTGTTATCTTGATGATTTCTTGCTTTCGGGCTATAAGTGGAACAAAGAGAAACAAGGAGAGGGAAAAGGACAAAGTGTCAGTGAATGTGGCTGATTTATATGCCCTGAAGACCTTGTAGAGAACCAGCTTGCTGCATGTCCTGCTCCATTGTTCCATGAACTAATTCTCTTCAGTGATATAGACTGGGAAGAATGAGATTCAAATTCTCATTCAGCCATCACTGGGTGAGATGGGGCCAATCACTCTCACAGGGCAGCACATGATATATGTTGCTGTGAAAGCCTCAAAGAAAGGGCAGAATACTCTTTTTACCACTTTGAGGGATACAATGCTAAGTCCAAAGCCTACATGGAAGCGGCTAACCATGGGTGTAAGGAGAGACTGACTAAGTTAATCAAGAATCACATAAGTAGCTTTAGAGCTTGAGAAAACTACTTTTTGAATCACAACTCCCAGAATCCTCCAGCTGAGCAATTCTGGAAATTGTAGAAAAAAGTGATCCTTCCAAACTCTGGGAAGGTCCTAGCCCAGGAAAATTAAGTAAGTAACAGGAATAATAACAAAAAGTGGTGGTTGTATACTTTGCTTCTACAGACCTTAGGTTACCAGAAAATGCTAGCAACATTTACTAGGGTAATATTTGATTCCTTACACACCACAATATGCTTCAGCACAAACACACCATCTTCTCTGCTGACAGTCCTCCTATAACCACATGGACTGAAATTTCATGTAACTCTGTAGCCAGCATACATTGGAATTTACAGGTGACCCAGTTAGAGCAAACACTATGAATAATACAATACTGAAGTGGCAGGTGTGGCGTCAACAGCCTCAGCAAGGTCATCTCCTTGGAGTGGAAACATTTGGAAACGTGCGCCCTTGCAGGACCGGCAGAATTCATTTCACCCTTAGCCTGGAACCCTCGGTGATTCTGACTGGATTTACTTTTAATGGACTTTTTCCTCAGTGGAGTTTGGATCGCAACCTCCCATGAATCTTACAGTACCAGAACTTAATTAATTAATAGGGTTAATAGGTCTGGGGAACTTCAGGAAACACATCCCACATTCACAGACCTGGTGTTCGCCATCTTATCAGAGTGCCAGATGTGGATCTGAGTGATACAGAGAAATGAGAACTAAAGCAGGGCTATTTCATTACCTTTGCTGAGAGACTGCTACTTTCGGCTCCCCCTAGTTTATATGGCCTGGCCTACCAGGAAACCAGTCATCAAGCCATCTGAACACTTTCTACCTCAGCTGCTTGAGAGCAGAAGGGTAATTTTAAGAACTGGCATCTGACTTCACTTTTTCCTACTGCTCTCTCTCCATCTACCTTTTCTTTATGTGTTATGTCATTCAGATTTTAAGCCTGAGGGCATGTACTATCTAATTTGGGTATTTGCAAGCTACAGTATTTGGGAAACTTTTTTGGCTAAAGAGTGGTCTACAACACTTTAAATTAAAATAAATGAAAAGCCATTCATTTTGCTCCATGTACAGCTTTCAGAGCACATCACTGCTTTTGTAGTTTTTTATATGAAATATGCAGACAACAGATTATGTAACTTACACCCTTCACAGGCTGAAGGAAGACTTGGGACACATAAAAACACACATGCTCACTTTTAATCCACCAAAAGCCTGACAAGCAAGATAATGCCTCTCAAAGCTAGAGCTGCACAGCTTGCGGCCCACCCATTGGGCATAGTGGCCTTAATAACCCCTAAGCCCATCCCAAGGCATGCTGCTGACTGAGACAGAAAACAAGATGGCATCCCTCTGCATACAAAATCTGACTGGACTGACAATGGAATCATGCTCACTTTTAATCCACCAAAAGCCTGACAAGCAAGATAATGCCTCTCAAAGCTAGAGCTGCACAGCTTGCGGCCCACCCATTGGGCATAGTGGCCTTAATAACCCCTAAGCCCATCCCAAGGCATGCTGCTGACTGAGACAGAAAACAAGATGGCATCCCTCTGCATACAAAATCTGACTGGACTGACAATGGAATGGAATTTCAATTTGGTAAATGTGGAGCACCATTTGCCAGCCCTTAAGGCAGCAGGCTACTTTAGCAGCTTCAGGGCAAATATTATTACAAATATTAACTGGCGGTGGCAGTGGCAAGTGGCCATGCGAAGCAACCAGTGTGGAGGACAAGGCATAGGATAAAGCCTTGAATGCAACAAGTTTGCGGTCCCTACTTGGTCTTGCACTGGCTACTAGTTACAGCCCCTTGCTGATGCCACCTCCAGTGTTATTTTTAATATTCGTTCGTTCGTTCATTCGTTCGTTTCTTTCTTTCTTTCTTTCTTTGAGGGATACAGTATTATGGATAGAAAAATATATATATAACAGATCAGACTGCATTCTTTCTTTCTTTCTTTCTTTCTTTCTTTCTAAGAGGGATACAGTATTATGGATAGAAAAAATATATATATAACAGATCAGACTGCAAGGTTTCCCTGCAGCCAGAAACCTGTGATCCTGGAATATAAGAGATCTCCTGGAATATAAGAAGAGATCTCCTGGAATATAAGTCCTAGATCTCCTGGAATATAAGAATGAACAAACCCTACAATTTACATCAAGAGACGCATTCACATACACCAAAACTACTCAAAATAAATCAGTTTCACAAGTGATTTAAAATAAATAAGCCTCTCACCGCTGAGTAAAATACCTCAGTTTCCAATTAAAAAAACAAGCTTACTGGGCAAAAAAATATATATATATCCATGATTTCTTGTACATTGTATAGTCAGAATTTCTTAAATCAATTTCAAACATGCTAAACCTGATTCAAAATTAGGATTTTTGACATATAACTGGCTCTCAGCTAACTTAAAAGGTTTTACAATAACAGAACTTAAACACAACTCATGTAGGTTCTAATAAACAGAATTCCAGAAAAATCTGCAATTTATATTGGGAAATTTAATCAGGTTTTGTTTTACAATGCAGGATACCAATATCCCATAGCATAAACAGCAGCTGGAGAGGAGCAAATTAAATCAAAAAAATGTTAAATTCTTTCTTCAATGCTCTAATTACAATTTAAATAACTCTCTTCACCCCACCAAACTTCTTTTGCCATTTTTAAAAAATGAAGGAAATCCTCTCATGGATCTCCAATCGTCCTGCCAACAGTACCTATTCTGGTCAAAGTTTGAGTCACAATTTAAGCCCTTTTCCATTGTTTGCAAAATAAGGGGTTTCAATAGAATGCTGTTTATCCCTGTTTATTTAAGGCTGTATGAGCTGCAGTTTAAAAAGTACCCAAATGCTATGAAATATCCCAGACCTGAAGAAGTGAAGATACACAATTGATAAAGGAAAAGAAGAGTGCATAAAGGAGAGATGCCTTCCAGCATATGCAAGGTGATTAACATCATACTACTAAGATGGTCATCAGGGAATAAACGCAGCAACCCCGTCTCCATTATATTCTACGCATAATGGGTTGCCTCCCCCTTGCAGTTGTTCAGAAGCTATTTTCTTCTTTTTATCCATTCCTCTAGATATCATTCAAGGGGATTCTGTCCCTCTGTAATAACACCCCATCATATCCTGCCAACATCTGATCTTACAGTCACCAACACCGTTCAGAATGATCCATCTACCCAGATGTTAAAAAGCACACTGAGCTTGCTGTTCTGAAGCTTACTCAGAGGTATGCTCCATTCGAGAAAGGAGGCCAATAATTCGAACTAAGCATGCATAGGACTGCTGTGTAAAAGAGTGGGAGAATTCTGTCCTTTCACCTCAGGATGCAGGTAAAAGCATATTTTATACGTGGGTAGGAGCTAATTAAATTATTTCAAATATGCATGAAGTTATGGAAGAAAGAATTGCCAGTCCAAGTAGCCATTATTTTGACCTTACCTGTGAGGACAAATCTGCCCCCCCCCTGGAAAAAATAAGTGCATGTTTCCTATCTTTCTAGAAAAGCTGTTTCTTACCTGTGAACTTGCCTGCCATGCCTTCTTCCACTTTAAACAGAGGACTCTCTGTATGCCCTACCCTAGCACCCTATCCTGTCACATCTCAGCTCATATTTGACAGTGTCTCCCTCCAGCTGCAATGTGCCAAGTTGCTATCCATCCCTGTAAACAAACACCACTGCCTGGGAGTCCTATTTTTTTCAACAGGAGAAAGATAGTTCAGGGGAGAGAGAGAGAGAGAGAGAG